GCAAGTAAAAGGCATTTCTTGTCGGCCGGGGAATGGTGGTGTAACATGAAAGTCCCGGCCAGCGCGGCCGGCGCTGTGAGAAAAAAGGCACCTGGCCGGGCGGCGGTAATAGACGGACTCCCCTCGTGGTGTGCGCCGACGGTGCGCCGGCCCGCCCACGGCTGGCGACAAATGAACGCGCAGCGGCGACGGGCCCCGCTCATACCAGCGGCGGGTCGACCGGCGCCGGGCGGCCGGAACTGGCCCGGTCTCCGTTCTGAGCTCCATTTTCACCCGATGGCCGGTATTCTATCCCACGGTTGGAGAAATCTGAAGCGCTGTGGACATCGGGCCGTCGCGAAAGGCCCCGGTGATAAGCCTTGCTCCGCATATAAAGACGTCAACAAAGGGCTGCCCCTGCGCATGCGCCGAGGCGACCCTCGCCTCTGCGCACCGGCGACGAACCGGCTCGTCAGGCCCGGTGCCGAGCAAACTCGACCGCAGAAACTACCGACATGTCAACATTGATTCGAGCGGCCGCGCGGCCCGTTATCACATTCTGCCGTCCAATTTGTCCGCCGCCGGACCGGCCGCTCTCTCCGCGTCTCTGTTGAATGTCCATACAAAATGCAGGCGTAATTGACGTGGGCGCGCACACACGGCCGCCGAACAATCCGACCGATCGCCGATGGCTTCACGCGACGCGGTCACGCTTGGCGCACCCACGGGACGGGTCAGATCGCACCTGATTGAACAACACGTGACTGGGCCCTCTTATCATTACCGGCCTGCCAATCCGGTGCGAGTGCTTCCAACTAGCACCCATTGATTTGGCCGGCTGACGGCAGAAAAATACGGCCGCTATTGAAGCCGCGCTCGGCCGCCCGCCAGACAACACATATAATTGTCGTTTATCGCAGGCGGACGGTCGTCCCGTCAGAGGACAAGACGGGCGGCTGCCTGGCGACGAGAGCGGCGCGGTTACCGCGGCCTCGCGACGGAGAGAGCGGCCACCTGGCGGCAGCTGGCTCCAGGCCGAACGGATTGGTGCGCTGACTGTAGTGCCTGAGCTGATGTGCGCTGTGAAGCAGGGCCAATGCATACCTGCATATGGAGGGAAGTGGCTGTGGTGCTTAGCAAATCCATATAAGTCGAGGGAACCATCGGCGGACGCCAGGCAACTTCTTCCTGATGAATGCTGATGCCGAATAACTTCCGGGCTCCACATGAACTTCACCTCAGGCAGCCGCAATAAAAGTCAATCGGCAAAGGTCACGACAATTGACCTCGCATGTCAGGTAAAAGGACGAGGGAGCTGGCGCGGCGAGCGAAAACACGACAGAAAAGTCAGAAGAGGGGCGCTCCGCCTGGTCACCGCACTGCAGCATGCGGCGGCTGTCGGGTCCGCTCGTTCACCGCGTTCGCGGGTGTTTCCTCCGCCCGCCCACTGTTTATGCAGCCGTGCTATGAATAGCGCCAGGCGCCACGTGCATGCAGGGCTGTGGGTCACGGTTCCCCGGGCCGGCTGCAGCTCAGTGGCGTGATGGGTGGCTGCCCTTCATCGATAGATGGGTGGTAGATAGATGGGTAGATGGGTGGCTGCCCTTCATCCGACACCGTGACGTGCAAAGCTCACGAATTTTGAAGTCTGCGGAGGTCATGTGAAATGAATATGAGATGCACTTCATGTTACGCAGCATTCCGTTTGGTCAACGTCCAGTGCATAAACGTTGACGCTGGGCTGACGCTTTTCTAAATGGCCCGACCTATTTTCCTTTGTTCAGCGCCTATAACTCGCTACCATGCACGTTTAAAGCTTTTTAAAGGAAAACGCCGCAGGTGACGTCACAACACTATTTCCAAAGCGGTAATGCTCAACAAGATTCTGACGTATTCAACATTTCTTTAAAAGTATATCTGTTTCTGTAGTGCATCAGTTCCAGCGCTTCCCATGTACCTATTCCTGCCAAGTCCCCAGCAACTGGACCACGGGCCGTTCACCCGGTGCCAACCGCGCTTGGCTGCGTCCTGCCGCTGCCCCCCCCCCCCCCCTCGCGGTCCGAAAGGTGCCCGTTCTGTCTGTGGGGCGCCGTGACCTGCCTCCAGCGGCCGGGTGACCTCCGTCCACCGGCAGGCGTCCCAGACCCCGTGAGAAGCCATCGGCCAGCGCAGCAGCACGTGCGGAGCCGGCGTCGGCCACGACCGGCGCCGGCCGCCGACGCTTTCAGCCATTCGTAAAACTACGACGCCGTCAGCATGCGGGAGGGCACGTCGACATGCAAACTGCCGCGGTCGCTGAGCCACGAGCGCCGGCGCCGGCTGGGCAGCGTATGGCGGACGACTCGCGTGTAGGCGAAGCGGGCGATACGACGTGCCACGTGTTTGTTTTCGCAGGGGTGGTAGTTCCAAGGCGCAAAGGTGCCAACCGGTTCTGGCGGCCGGCACGGTGTGGTCAGCTGTGGGAGCTACCCACGCAAAACTGGCACCTCTAGCCGCCAGTGTCGGAAAGTTTAACGGCCTCCATCGCTGTTCAGCGCCATGAAGTATTTACGCACCCCCGCCGGCCCCCTACCCGCGGAATAATACGGGCTTTGTGGCCCCAGGCGTTGCTGGCCGGGGAGGGGGACGGACGCGGATCGAGATCCGAAGTGGAGGTCTTTCACTACACCCTCTGGGCTCACCCAGCCGAGAACATTTCACCTCGCCTTCGGACCGGAAGTCATCAAAACGGCGTCAAGCACACGACGATCCGCACCACACATGGCACCCGCACCGTCGCGCCGGACTTGTCACGCGCAGGACGACACCCGCCCGCCCGACCAGCGTCGCCGAGCGGAGCTACCTTCGCGCCGGCCGGCCGTCCCGCTGGCACGAAGGCCGCTCGTCCCAGAATACAGGCGGCGGACGCATGGCGGCCGCGGGCGAAATGTCAGCGTAGCGCCGGCACACGTGTCACGCGGCGGAACGGGCGCCGCGCCAGCCGACACAGCTGGGATGCCGCGGCGACGACCGGCGGAGCGGAGGCCCAGTCACGTGTCACGACGTCACGGGATGTGGCGTGTCACAGTGTCACGGGCGTCGTGGTGTCGGAATACCGTGGCGCAACCGTGTCACAGTGTCAGGAAATGACCTTTTGACGACTTCGCGTGGCACGTTGACACGGCTCCACAGCGGCACAATCTCACAGGCCATCGTGTCAGTGTCGCGACGTGATCGTGTCACGGTGCCACCGCGTCATTGTCTAACGGTGTTCACGCCACCCCGCATCGCCACACAGCCATAAAGTGACTCTCCGTCGCAACGGCCACCGGCAGCGGTCACCCCTTAGGTGTTGTGTTGCCGGACGTCGGCCATGTCACTCCGGCTCTCTTGTGTCACCGGCCGCCGCCACATACCGCGGTCCCGGCGAGCCGGGGAGCTCTCGGCCACGGGTGGAGCCCGGCGCCGTCGCCGGGCGTCCCAGCCTGCACCGGCGGCGCGCTCTGTGATGTCCTGCAGCTGTGCAGGAGCCAGCTTGCAGCGGCGCGGTACGACCGGCGCCGGCGCGCCGGCCCGAGACTGCCGCGCAGCGCGGCGTGCAGATATCTCTCAGCGCTCTGCCCCATCACGTGATGCGTCGCGACGATCCTTTGCGCTCCCGCCGTGTTGCCCTGCCCACTGCCAGGCGCTGTGCTCGACCGGCGTTAGGTATGCCCCCCCCCCCCCGCTGCGTTAGGGGGTTAGGGCGTTAGGTATGCCCCCCCCCCGCTGCGTTAGGGGGTTAGGGCGCTAGGTATGCCCCCCCCCCGCCGAGAGCGAGGATACAAACTGAGCCCGGAGTCGACCGGAGTTTTGTCGACGCTGCAGACGTCAGGCGGCGTCACCACGTCTTTGCAGCCAGTTGAAGTCAGACAGTCGCGACGCTTTCAGTCGGTCGGCTCCAGCTCTCTGATGGCCAGTGCCCGTCACCAAGCGCTGCTGGCGTGTTTTGACAAGCGACGGACCGTGCCTCGGAAAGCCCGCTGACGTCCGCACACTGGCGCCAAGGGAAGGTCAGGGGTCAGGTCACTCGTGCGATTTATGACGGAGTGCCAACGCAGGGCGTGCGGTACGCCAAACCGCGACGGTGACCGGCGAACAGCGCCGAGAGCAGTACCACATGATAGCAAGCGCCCTGTGTTCTTCTCTGCGGCGCATGAGGTGCTAAATGCGGGGACCACACGTGCACCGACCAGCCGGATCGCTGGTGACAATTTTGAGCGGAGTGTACACAGGTTGCCCAGTTTTGTCCCGTTTTGCACCTGTTACATGCCAGAAAAAGGGCGCCAGTCATAACTTAGCTATAGGCCATTCTATCAAAAGAACTTTGCTAGCACGCTGAACCAGTGTCACATTTCTAGTTACGTAGACATTACCTTGCCTATTACACACGAATCTTATACGATGAAGCAAGCATTATTATCTACGGAATGAAAACGTAACTTCTTTCCATTCGATGAATACTCTCATTCTTTTCAGCAAGTGTATGAATAGGTTTTCGTCCCGTTTTTCATTTACACATCTGGTACCTGGCGACTAAGGTTGGATCTCAAATAGTTCGCGATGCTTACATTTTCTTTTAATCCAACTACGTCCTTGCTACCTCGAAGCTGTCGTTGTTTGCCCACTCTCTGCGGGGGTCCGTTCCGCTGCGGTCCGATGGTTTGGCCCAGAATCTGATGTCCGCTGGAGACGGACACAGTGCTAAGGGAAGCGTGAATTCTTTCGAGCGACAGCGCTAAGCTCCTTGATCGTTAAAGAATTTAGCTTAGACCGAATCGGGACAATCTGCTATTACCACGTACCATTTTGACAACTGTCTCTGCTGTACCGCGTCGCTCGTTCTGTGCAACAGTGGCCCAACTCACCTGCCCCTCCAACTTTGCGACCTGTTTCCACTACACCGGCAAAAGAGTCGACTTGTAGCACAGCCGCATACCGACCTTCGCTGACCTTGACCCGTGCGTTACGTGACGTCTGACGGGCCGTGTCCGCTGTTGCAGCCTGCAAAAGGAAAGAGGAACAGCCACCTACCGAGCAACCGCCGGCGCCCAAGAAACCGCGGCTTGTCTTTACCGACCTGCAGCGACGAACACTGCAGGCTATTTTTAAGGTGAGCCGCTAGACACACCTTACCTGGACACACCTGGACACGCGTCGTCCCGCTGCGTCACCCCTCCCCTCCTGCCGACCTGACTCGGCGTTTCGGGAACCCCCTGATCACACCATGACACCAATGGGAAGCCAGGCCGCGCATATGCGCTGCGATAAAAGTTTGCATGTCCGAGGCTCGGAAAAGGACTAAACAATCGCAATAACTCCTGCCAAGAATGAGCCAGGGCAGCTAACGTTCCCTGCCTTTGGTTAGCTCGGATTTGATGGGATACCTCAATCAGGGGCTGGCCGCAGGCACACCACACTCGAATCAACATGAATCGATTGCTGGCTCGCCCTGGCGACCCGGGGCATCACGCCACCGTACCAACTTGCGCTCGTCACGCTATACGCTGCGGGACGGTCGGCCAGCTGATGGCCTGTCCGGGGCTGATGTGGCCGTCTGATCCGACCTCGTCACTTGGCCGCGTTCCGGCCCTAGCTGGACCCCGCGGCTGGGTGTCGGGCACCGAAGTCGGGCGGCGCAAAGACGCCGCAAAGAGGCGCTTCACGAAGTTGAGGTCGGCTTGAGGTGACGGGATCAAACGGGTAGTTGGTCGTCTCCGGGCCTCCTGACCGACTACAGCAGCGGCACCCAGGCCTCTTGATCGGTCACAACAGCGGCCCCCAGGTCTCCTAATCGGTCACAGCAGCGTTCCCCAGGCCTCCTGATGGGTCACAGCAGAAGCCCCGAGCCTCCTGAGGGTCACAACAGCGGTCACCGGGCCTCCTGACCGGCCACAGCAATGGTCCCCGGGCCTCCTGATCAGTCACGGTAGCGGCTCCAGGTCTCCTGATCGGTCGCATCAGCCTTCTCCCGGGCTCCAGATTGGTTTCAGCAGCTGTCTCCAAGCCTCCTGATCGGTTGCAGTGACCGTTTCTGGGCCTCTTGATCGGTGACAGTGGTCTCTCCGGGAGGTCATTGGCTAGCAACGGGAAACTCGCCGCAGGTTCCCCTTTACAAGCGCTGCCTTAGTGAGCAGTTGCGCCCCCCTTTACAAGCGCTGCCTTAGTGAGCAGTTGCGCCCCCCTTTGGCAGCAGCAGATTGGCTAGATACGCCCATTCGCGTTTCGCGTGCGAGGAATGCGTCCTTCCATCGCCTTTTGCCGCCACATGGAAACGACGGATTTGGACTTCGGAGACAAGTATGCTTCCGGCGCCACCTGAGGAGCTGCGAGGAGTACTGCTGGTGGTGGCACACTGCGACGGACTAATATGGCCCGCAATGTGGTGTAGCGCGCCCTTGGGTGACCTCTGAATCGGGCTGAACATACCTGCAGGATGGCCGCAGCTTAAGTCTTTAAGGAATGTACCTTTTCAAAACCCGACAGCTACAAACATCTCAGTGATCTGAAGAAGGTCTTGAGACAAAAACAAGGCAGGCAACCAGCTGGAAAGCATGCGAAATATGCGAAATATTTCGGTTTTGTAATAGGCACATCTGCCCCGACGACATGCCTCGGCAGAAAGTAAGGGTCTAGCCGACGGCTGCAGTATCCCGGCGACACTGCACCTTGTGGTTGCGCAAAGCATGATGTTTCGCAGAATAACGTGGGTTATACCGCGGCCGTGGTAATCACCTTGAGCTTGAAGAGGAGCTAGAAGAGGCTTCATGCTTCCAGTGGTGAATACTACGTGTAGACGGACTGAGACATACCCACAGACCGTCAGACATGTAAGATCTCGACTTAGCAGCACGCTGACGGCTTCACTGACGGCCGAGAAATTGGCATGCATTTTAGCAGCTACCCACGCCAAGTGACAGTGGCCCACTATCTGGGCACCCTTCGGTGGCGCCGACGGGATAAGCCGTCGACCGGGAACGCCGCCACGATCTTCCCTCCCGCCGACGGTGGCGGAAGGTCGGGAGTCGTTAGGCTTCTCCTAAGTCTCCCGGTTTTAAGGCTGCAAGGCCAGCGCGTGTCGGACAGCCCTTGCTCTTTAAAATCGACTTCGGGGTCTGTCCGTCTTGTCTGACCTCATTCTACGCACCCCTCTTCTTGTGTTGTGCTTCGTGTTTTTTTCGGCTTTTTTGCGCTGATGCTATCGGGCCAGCGAAGACATGACTTGGGCTGGATGTCCTTTGGCCAGCAACATCCATCTCAGAGGCAGCGGACGCAGAAAGCGGCGAGTGGTGAGATAACAACGCGGCTATCGTGGCTTTTCACCTCTACCGTGTCTTTCCCGGCTTGTGCTGTATCTCTGAAACAAACCGGCGCCGGTGCCCCTGCGGGAGGTCAGCGGCGGCTGTGAGGCCGACACGGAGGCCGCAGGATGATCCCGGCGAGACGGGCCATGGCGAAGATAAAGGATAAAGCGGTGCATGAGAACAGCAAGGCGAATCTAGAGACGTGGTTCCGTCCAGGATCTATTACGCCGTCTGGAGTGGTCACCAGCCAGAGGCCTCGCGATCTGCCATTACTCACGCTCCGTCCCCTGACAGGGGGTTTGACGTGGGGGAGCCGAGCGTCCTCAGGCGGCGCTGCACTGCCCAGCGCGTTTCTCCCGACGCGGAGACACTGGGCACGACAGCCCGAGAGACTCATCCGAAGTCAAGGCCGAGACAGCCAGGCAACGCTTGCGTATCGCGCGGCCGAAGTTCACGAAATACGGCTGCACGTGCAAATACGTTTGCAGATCGCACGAAAAAAAACAGGCAACGCATCAAGTGTGACGACTCATTTCATGGGGAGGATAAGTGGGTTCCAGAACTCCGCCCTTGGGCCACATCTGCTCGTCATCTGCAACCGGACTGGGCAGCGCATCTCGCACGTGACCGGACGCTCGAGCTCCTGAACTTGCATAGACCATATCTACAGCACCTGCCACCATTAGAGTGACTCCGATATCACGAAATAAGTAGACAGCCCGGCCCGGGTACGATGACTCGATCGATAGACGGCGGACGCAAAGTACCACATTGTGTCCAAAGCCATTCACATCAAACTGGACGCCAAACTGACGCGAAAAACGGTGGCAGGAGATCTGTCAGGGCACGTCCGTCGGATATGTCAGGGCACGCCCCCCGGATATGTCAGGGCACGCCCCCAGCACGCCGCCCGCTCATGCTTATCGAAACACCAGACGGTCGAACCGTCAGCCGAAGAGAACGCCACCTTAACACACCACTGACAGGATCGAGAACGCCCATCACTCAGCGGAAAGCAGCGCTGCCGGAGACAACAGTGTGTAATGACTCGACTCTGAGCCAATACAAGTGCAGTAACTCGAGTTTCGCTGTATATGCAGCCATAATAACCAACGCGAGAAATAACGCTGGTCAGCCCGCTTCAAGCGCCATGATACTCTGTGGCGCCCGCCGTCCGAGCGCCTGTTCCGCTGGTGATAATGGTGGTTACACTGAAGGTTTCAAACTGCTGATCTCCCCGCACCGTGCTCCGGAGTTCGTCAGCGCTTGTCGTGTTTGGTAAGACGGAACAGAACTCAAGCGGATGTTAAGAGATTTGTTGTTTCCCCTTCTGTGACGGGAAGCCTTTGCGCTCTCACCATGTTCCACCCTGTGCTGACCATTTAGGTGACCAGCTCTGGTTAGCGCTTTTCCACTATCTAAACATCTGTCTGCTCGTCTCTCCGTCTATCACCGGAGACATCGACACCCCCTCGCACCTATCACTGTCTTTCTCCTGGCCCCAGACCGTCGCCCTTCAAGCTGTAGGTCTTTGTCTGAACATTTTCATCAAAGTCTTCTTAACAGATCAGTCTGACCAAGCGACCGTCTCTCGCCTGTTTCTTGATCACCCTTGAGCGTTTCTACTCTGGTTTCTACGTTGGAAATGCTTTCCCTTTTAAAGCCGCTCCACCTCTCTGCAGCTGTCTCTCAAGACTAAGAGAAGAGGGTCGCAGGAGGCCACCACCCAGAAGTGTTCAGGGACAGACTATCTTCCTGATCGCCTATCCGAACACCTCCCTGCCGCTGTTCTGTCATCATTCTGGAAGTCTCTCCGACTTCCCGCGTCTTTTGACAGTCTGCCTCGCCGTTTCCCTCGTCGTCTCTTCAAACGCTTGTGTAGTTGTCGCTCCGCCTCCCTACCCTTACCCCACCCTCTAACTGGTCCACTAACCGATCGTCTTCCTGGTCATCTCTCTCTCTCTCTCTCTCTGACCCTCCCCCTCCCCCCCCCCCCGGCAGTCTCTCTGGCTGTCTCCTCTGAGTCCCTCCTGAACTGTGTTTCCGACCCCTTTCTTAGTGTCTCCCCGACCGTCTCCCAAACAGTATCTACTGACCTTCTCCCGGCCGTCTCCCAGGCTGTTTTCCTGCCCGTCTATCCTTCTTTTTTCTGCCACTCTTTTATGATCATCCTATTTATCTCTTTCAGAGCCCTTGAGATTCCACGGGCGTCTGTCTGACTCCCCTCTCCAACCGTACAAATGCTGTTTCCACGCAACTTTTCCTGTCATATCTCTGGAAGCCTCAAGAGCAGTATTTACACTACTCTGATAGTCCGCTGACCGTCCCCTGGCCGTCGCCTCCGGCCGTCTCTTTGACCTCACCTCTAATCGCTTCTATCTCGCTCACCGTCTCTCCGACGACATTCTGGCCGTCTCTCTTGCCTCCCTCCCGACCACTTGCCTGAGATCGTCCGGACATCCCCCCGATGGCCTCTTCTTGCCTCCCCTGGCTCTCTTTGCCTGCGTCTCTGACCGTCTATCTGGAACTTTCCTGACCGTCTCTTTGGCCGTCTCTTGGACCGTCTTCCTGGCCGTTTTGCTGCCCATCTCCCCGAGCGCCCCTCTGACTCCCTGGCCGTCTTCTGAGCGTTCCCCCATCGTGTCCCGCAGGAGACGAAGCGCCCCTCGAAGGAGATGCAGGTGACGATTGCGCGACAGCTGGGCCTCGAGCCCACCACCGTCGGCAATTTCTTCATGAACGCCCGGCGCCGGTCGCAGGACAAGTGGAAGGAGGACGACAAGCCGGGCGGCGGGGGCGGCGGCGGCGGTGGCGGCGGCGGCTCGAGCCTGCTGCAGAGCCAGGTGCTGACGGCAGCAGTGACGGCAGCGCCGCTCCAGCACGCGCTCGACTCGCTCACCGGCGACTTGTGACATGAGGACTCGGAGGGAGCGGGCAGCGTCATCCGACTCTACGTCGGCTCGGACGACAACTGAGGCGCGCCGCGGAGGCGCCGGCCCCCGCGCGCACGCACGGAGCTGCACTCACCGACACAGCGACACGACCCCCACACCCGCACGGCGCGCCCGCGCCGCCGGCGGCGCCGCTAGTCCGTAACAGACGCTTCTAGTCAGCGGAGCTCTGAGGGCCGCGCGCCCATCCCAGTGATGCTAGTCAGTGAACGGTATAGGACAACCATGCTAGTCAGAAAGCATACGACGGACCATAGTGATCCATAGCAATACGCGCGTGCTGACAAGCGCGACGGCCGCCGCACCGGCGACCGGGACCCGCCGCCTCGAACCTCGCTCCGTTCACATCCAGGCAGGCGCGGCCGTGCGTGTGCGTGTTTCCATTCTGATCTCAACACATTCCGTAGGTATTTTTAGGAGGTCTTGGCGCACCGCAGCGGATGATATTTCTATATAGATGCAAGGCCGAGAGATGGCGCCGTTGCCGCGCCGATCGAGTGTACATAGACACATTCATTTTATGCATGGATCGGTCACCTGCGCGCACTGTACATAATCCCAGGTTGTTGTCTCTGCATTGCCTTTGATTTGTCGTCGTTGCACCCTGTAGGAACGCCGCCCGCGTCCGAGCGACCGCCACCATTTGTATACTGTCCGTGGTTTTTGTACACGACCAGCTGGTGGGGCACACGCACAGGCGTGGCCAGACCTCCTCAAAGGTTGGGCGGTGGACCCACGTGTCTACTTAACCGGGCTCCGCGGCCGAGCGGCCGAACACAATCGGCGCTCCGCCGGACCCAGCGGAGGGTCCGGCGTGTCCTCGCTGTTGCCCCCCCCCCTCCCCCTGTTGCCCCTCAGACGTGTGGGCGCGTCGGCGACGCATAGGTATCTAGATGTTGGTGCAATACCTGTCAGCATGTCCCACATATCACCGACCTCACCCATCCCACCAGCGCGCACGGACACCGCCCGCGCGTACGACACGCGCCATCTGGAGCACGCCGGCCGCCGCCCGCGCCGCCGGCGGCCCGTCCCTAACCTGACACGACCTGTCGGACCTCGCGCCGCCTCAAGGCCAACAAATCGTCTAGTCATTCGAACATTCCGTTGCCGCGCATTCCAGGCTGCCGCCGTTTTCTACGCTGGTTTTGTTGCGGAAAGCGCGGCGCGCGAGTCGCCAGTCATTCAGCTGTCCTAGTCAACCGCGCATGCGCGGTCACCTTAGCGTTTAGTGCTCTGAGTTGGCCGCCTTGCCGCCAGTCAAGTTATTATTTAATCTATTTATTATTGTCGGTAGAGCGTAGGTTGTGCGAGACGTGAGAGCACAAAGCGCGCGCCGCTCGGGCGTGCTCACGCGCCCGGCCGCGGCCGGGAGGCGGGCGCCCGCGGCGGCGTAGCCAGTCAACAATCCTGGCCGCCCTGTCCCCCTGTATGCAGTCGTTTTAGAGAATGTAAGGACTTTCTGGTGTAAGTGAATAAATAGAGTAAGACACGGCGTGTTTGGACGGCGATGGCTGCGAGGGAGGCGGAGGACACCCGGTGCCGATGGCAGCATGCGAGTCGACAGGCCACCGCGAGGCCGCATGCCGAGCTGCTGAATCGCGCCGGAGGCGGGGGAGGGGGGGGGGGGGCAGAGCTGAGAGCTCACCAGGGAGGACTGAGTGAGCTTGAAGAACGTTAAAGAGGAGGGCGCTGCCGGAGTGAATGTTAAGTGATGGGTGAACAAGCTGGGAGGGCGTCAAAGAGAAATGGGTGTACTGAGAGGACCTTAGAAAAGAATGGTGGAAAGGGGCGGCCATCAGAGAGGGGTCACCAGAGAAAGGAAGGGGTCAGGGGTCAGCGGTCTGTAAAATGAAAGCTACTTTGCGGATTGGAAGAACATCGAAGAACATCAGCTTTATGCTGCACGGTGGTTGGCACGTTGGACCTTGAAAATCGTCTTTTTCACATAGTTGACTGCATTCAATCACTTCCATCGTCAAACCATTTTTATTTTGGCTTGGTGCAAATCCAACGGCACACCTATTTTTGGCAACGCGTAATCCGATAGTGTGTAAAACAATCACAAGAACACGGTTTTTCTGGAATTGTATCCCTCATGTGTACACGAGTTGAGGACTGACAGATTGACTACAGCACTTAGCTATCGGCTCTACCTGCTGAGGCAGCACCATCCGAGACCATGACCGAGGCGATAGAGAGCCTCACGGGGTAGGCAAGCCCATGGCTGCCATGAGTTTTATGGAGGAGGCACCAGCAGAGGCGCATCCAAGGGGAGCCAGGAGATCCTGCTTGGCGTCTGCGTTATGCCCCCATTTCTCTTCTTTCACTATAGATGGCTCCTTACAGAACATTGAAAATTGGCGTGGTGCCTTTTCACCAAGGTCCGACCATGTCTCCCATTTAGAGCCCTGGGTGACGGGTTAGATTGGCTCAACGCTTTGGGAAATCTGCGGAGTCTGGGTACTCGCATTAGTAAAACGCTTATGAAACATTGGACAGATACCTAAAAAAACAGTATACCTTGTTATTGCCTGGGCTCGTTTTAGCGGCGATTCGCTCAATTCACTCTACTTTTGCAATCATTAACGCAACTAAGAAGAAAAGCTGAGTCAGCTTTCCTGGAACACCACCTGGAAAGGTGAAGGCCTTTATGAGCCGGACAGTGCGGGATTCTTCCCCGGAAGGATGGCTTGCGACACGGTGCTTGGGCGCATATACATATGCTGGGAGTTGCAATTTAAGCTTACTTAAGCCATCTGCAAAAAAGTATAAATGTTCTCAAAACTGAAGTGTCCGTCCTGGTTACTCAGTTGGTAGGAGAGCCTGACTTCGGATTTAACACCAGTGGTGACATGGGTTCGAGTCGTTTTAATCGTTTGGTATCTGTTCCTGACTGGGATACCCTGTGGCCTTTGCCGACGACCATGCTAAAGGTCAGGCGATGCCGGACGGTGGGACGAACCGTATCGAGCATCACGACGCTTAAAACTTTCTCCGCAAAACCCCGCTGCTCACCTGGCATTGTTCCACCGGATGGTGAGGCCAAGGCTCACGCGACAAGCAATGCTTAGCGTGGCCTCTGATCCCAGAAATCCAGCCAATCAAAAGGCTCGGGCGGAGTCTTAAGCACAATGCTGATGTCAGGTAAGATTTCGTCCTTGACGTCGATGTTTCTCATATCGACCCCCGTGGAAGACACAGCAACATTTACCGAAATATAGCTTTTTTACTACCAAAACAAGTCTGCGCGCAAGCATGTCTGTAAGAATAAAACGACAAGGTTATAAGTTACAAATTAAAGACAACATTGTCAGAAGTCAACATTAAGACCCGCATGACTAGCGACCTTGCTTGAAATGTCACATAAAATAGTGGGTACATGATGGGCGCGAAATGACCAAAGCATCCGAAGCACCATGAACCCAAAATATCGTTCCCATCATCATCGCTTAAAATTATAATGCGCCAGTGCACAGTCGATAAAGTCCTTGCCAGCCTTGTCAAAAAGTTCACAGCCTTTGATGCAATCTGGCAGGAGATGACACAAGTCAAGAAATGACACATCCCAGGCAGCTAACATTCCGATGGTCCTGTTATAATCCAATAGCTAGGCAAATCATTGTAGAAACTTGGATGCGCGTTCGATGCGGAAAGTCTTTCAGGTCACGTCATTTGACCTAGCCTCTGGCGTCAACGACCTCCAGACTCCTCGACATGTGCATGTTACATGTGCCGACACATGTAAGTGTGTCACACACACACTTATAAGTGCCAACACTGTACGATTCACTGGTATCTTTTACCGCCAATTCAGGAAAAGTGATCGATTTATTTAGGGAAATGTTCATCTTCTCCAGGGGCGGATCCAGAAGGGGGGGGGGGGCGCAGGACAATGCCCATCCGCTTGGACCCCGAAGTGGCCCATACTAGCCGAACAGACACCATTTTTTACAAACAAAGCGCAACAAAACTGGACGCCTTTGGACTTCCAGGCGACTAGGAATAGTCGCAAGCGAACTGAAGGGCCCACGAGTAGACAAAAATTATTTCTTACTGATTAAGAGCGTGATGATTGAGGGATTTTAAGGCTCAGTTTGCTTTCCAGGGGCCCTACTCTGCTTTTGGGGGCCCGACATGTCCACTTTCATGGTAAATCTGATCGCTAAGAAGCCTTGCACGTTGTCCCTTGATTTCTGTATAGTTGCTCGGGACTCCATATATTACCCAGAATGTTCTTTCCTCTAGAATATATTAGAGCCCACACTTGCAGAGGACTCTACGCTCTTGTCGGGGGCCCAATCTGTTAAGCTGCTCGGGCACGCTCGATCGCTTGGGGGTTCTCCACATGGGGTCTTTGGCACTTCTATTTCAATGGAGGGCCCTACGCTCTTGTCGGGACACACTCGATTGTTCCGGAGCTCCGCATATTGGGTCTTTGGCACTTCCTATGTGAATGCAGAGTCCTACCATAGAAGGATCCTGCTATCTGCGTATATTCCTGACCTGCTATATATATATATATATATATATATATATATATATATATATATATATATATATATACATCCAGGATAACTTAATCGGTCAAGGACCCTCCACGGATTCTTCAAATTCGCCCGACAGGCTCTACACGCCTTCATATTGGTATCAAGTTCTTTCCGAAAGTTGTTCAGTGCATTTACGAGGAACATCACTCACATAGATAAGACAGTAGTAATAGCCTTATTCATCGGGAAAAAACCAGGAGAATGAAAAAATAGATGGGCTGATATTTGGGCAAAATGCCTTTTTCGAAACAATGGCAGAGATGTACAACAGCAAAAACCACTTCTGCTATTGTTTCGATAAAGGCATGTTACGGAAATATCGAGCCATCTATATCTCCATTCTCCTGGTTTTTCTCCGAGTAATAAGGCTTATACCTACTTCTGTCTCATCAAGTTCTTTCCACTTGCTCGAAGAGTCCTGTTCTATTGCTGGGCCCATAGGCGGAAACGTACCGAAGCACACGATGCTCAGTGGCCATCTATATTGATCCAGAGCCCTTTTCCTTCGGACTAATGTACGGAGGACTCTTTACTCCTGCCAGGACCCTTTCTGTTAACCTTCCCAGGCACTTTTGATCCCACAGGGGCATTAATTCATGTACATTGATCTTGGGTTATTCCCCCTTGTTGACTTCAGATGGTCCCGTGCTCTGGTTCGGGCCTGATCTGTCGCCTGCCGGTGTACTCCAGATCGTTCAGGGGCTCACCATATTGGCCCTAGGTTCTTCTCTCTTGCTCTGAGGACTCTACACTGTCGACGAAAGCCTCCTTGTTGGCCTACCGCAGTACCTCCGATCGCTCAAGTGACGTCTGTATTGGTCTTGGGTTCTCCCATTTTAAAGGGGGACATAGGCCATTGGCGGGGACCTCAGTCTTAACAATCATGTGTAGGGCATTGCCAGAGACATTCGGGACAGATGCCTTTATAAGGCATCATGCGGGACGCGGTGGCGGCGTGGCGAGGGGCTCGAACCGCAGACCGACAGGTCCAGAGTCGGGCGCCCTACCCACCATGCCACCACCGCCCCTGATCTAAATGGCAATCGGCCGGGGCACTCTTGATCGCTCCGGGATGCTGCACATTGATCCTGGGCCCTTCCGATCAAGTCAGAAGCATCTTATTATATTGCAGAAAGGCTCACATGTGCCTGCGAGCGCCAGGGCGTTTGGCTGCTCGGGTGTACGGAACTAACTAAATTGCTTCATGTACACAAGCCAGAGATCACAAGATGTCGGTTTACTTCGCGCCTTAGCCTTAGAGCAGCAGTCGGCTCTATGCCGATGAATTTTTACGCGTAACTGTCGAAGATGATTTTACGAGCCGCCAACGTCGTACATATCATTTTCGTTGATTACTTAATTTGTGACACCTACTGTGCTTGCGCATCATGTTCGTAATGCAATTTGAGTGCCAGCATATTCTGTACTCCTTCAGAAAAGTCAGAGCGAAAGCTCTGCATTAGTCATCAGCCATTAGCTGCACATATTGACTAGCCAGCTAGACGAAATAAGCTAGGACTAAGTGCGTGCTTGAATTCGATGGTATTTTGCAGCTAACTTAAGTGCATTTTCCGATGTTTTCTCCAAAATACTTAGCCTCAAAATGACAGGACCCACTACAATCTGGGAAAAATGAACAAGCCGCGCGCAGCTGCATACGTAGCTCGACTAGTTTTCTAGGACTGTGCACAGTAATACGGGTTCCCGTATAAGAATAAGCAAATACAATTTTGAGATATAACGGCCGGAATACGAGAATTTTTGGGCAGGGAACCAATATTCTAAGAGGGAGGGGTGCAATGTTATGTGCCCCTTTGACGAAATACTGGATTCGCCCCTGCCCGCAGTAAATGAAAATATAGTACCACTGCAATTTTTACTACACTAACGGAGAACCTACTAAATTGTCTTGTCTGTGATACTCATGAGTACTGT